CAGGGCTGACCCCCGGCGCGGCATCCGCCCTGCTCCCCGCCGGGGACGGCATGAGCCAGGAGTGCCCACAGCCTGGCTCTGTTGCTTCACACCAGAGCGGGATTTTTAGGGTGCTGCCTGCAGCGTGGTGTGCAATAGGCTGCTTGTCGGGGTCCACTACTGACCTGGGACTGAGGAGGGGTGCTCGGCCGACGGCAGACGAGGCGTGCCACCTGCAAAGCAAGTCAGATCGTCCTGCCACCCATCCCTGCAGCACCGCTGCGCAGCACCCACGGGGGAGCCGCTCTGAGCCAACAGGTGCAGCCATGGCTTGGGCAGAGCTAAGGTGGGCGTTCTTCCCGCCGTGGTCGCTGCACAGGATCATTTTGTTCCAGTGTGCCCAGAAAAGAGTGGGCTTTGTGTCCTGGCTCTACCACGGGCACATCTGGGGTTGGCTGGCTGAACAGCTTTATTTTCACAGCACTGTCAGCACGCAGCCTGCGTTTTTATAAAACCTCCCCACGGCTGGGGTGACAGCGGAGGGCCTTGGGAAGAGGCAGGTGCTATGTACGCTATGTTAGGGGTTTTAGCTGATGGCACCGCTACCGAAACCGCCCCCCAGGGCAGGAGCCGCGACACAAGCACGGGTACCGCAGCATCCCCCCCGCACCCTGCAGCAGTTGCTTGTGCCTTGGGCTTCCCCCGCCGTGTGCACCCAGCGGTACTCACTGTGGCACTGCGCCGATACGTTACCTTCCCGACACGTCGGTCCCGTGTACCCGTTCAGACAGAGGCACTGGCCGTTCTGAGCATTACAGTAGGAGTTGCTGGGGGCACACTGGCAGGGCAGGCTGCAGTCCGGGCCGTACTCGGTCGGCCGGCACTCTGGTGAGGGGGCAGAGAGGGGCTTAGGCTGGGCAGCCCGCTCCTGCGGCCGAGCAGAAATGCTCAGCCATTTCCCGCTGTGCAACAGGCTGAGCTTGCACTGGAGGCTGAGTGCAAGATAAGACAGAGAGCTTTTTGCCTTCCCCCTGCTCCCAGCCTGCTCCTGAGCTCTGGTGATCCAGGGCATCAGAGCATCCCAAGGCCAGCAAGGCGTTCCTTCTGCATTCGACCCTCAGCTTTTTGACTCCGGCGAGCTGAATAACGAGGGCACTGGAGGCTGGGGGAGCATTTGCATTCAGATCCGACTACAAACAGAGGCTGGAGAGGTGACTCCCACTGTTCAGCTGTCCTCTTACTCTTTGAGGGGACACGTGCAAAACAAAAAGCCCTCTTCCATGCGAATTCAGCCCCAGCAAGAGGAGTTTTGCATCCATTTTAGGACTGGGCATCTAGCCTTCTGTCAATGCCCCTCCTGCACGGTCCCCTTTCTCACCTTCCCAAGCTGTGGCTCAACTCACCTGAACCGCACTTGGGGCCGGTTTTCCCAGGGGGGCACAGGCAGCGCCCCGTGGCTGGGTCGCAGGGCGCGTTGCCGACGCAGTCGCAGAGCTGCTGGCAGCCCTCGCCGTACGTTCCTTCCCTGCAGCCTGTTTTGAGAGGCACACGTGCTACGAGAGTGCGCCTCGGGATCCTGCCCGTTTCTCGGGAAGCAGGAGGAGGACGGGGTACCTGTCTGACAGCGCTCGCCACGGAGCCCAGCAGGACACTGGCAGCGACCGGTGGCCGGGTCACAGCCTGCTCCGTGCTCACAGTCGCAGCGCTCCCGGCAGCCGGCTCCATGGAAGCCCGGGGGACAGCCTGGGATGGAGCGGGTGGAGAGCTCATTAAAGCACGGGTGGGTTGGACTCAGGCTGAGCTGTAGGCAGGCTCTGCAGCAAAGCCTCCATCAGCCCACCAGAGAGAAGCAGCGAGCCTTTCTCGTGGAGAAGTGCCCAAATGCACGCAGTTGTTCCGGGTGGCCCGGGGCAGGGCTACCAGCTTCCCGCAGCGAGTCTCAGTTGCAGAGCGCAGCGTTTCAGCTCCAAAGCATTTGCTTGGCTACCCAGCACTAAGCTGCGCAGCGGTCGCGTGCATGACCCTGGAACGGCACCTCTGCATCCAGTGGTCTCATGCCGAGAATAGAAATTACCGTCTCTGCCACTACTTCTGCTACCCAGGAAGGGATCGCGGTGACACCAGTAAGAAAGGAAGAGCCCATCGGTGCAGGCAGCCATGTGTGCGACTGCAGTGGGTCACACCTTTGTCCTACGGTCCTGCTCTCTGGATGAGCTTTTGAAAAGATCCCCCCCTCGCAAAGCCGAAGGTGTTTCCTCTGCCACAACTCACTGTGTTCACACAGGGGCCCGTAGTGGCCCGCGGGGCAGCGGCAGGCTCCCGTCCCCGGGTCGCAGGTAGCGTTGTGCAGGCAGGCGCAGCGGAGCTGGCAGTCAGCACCGTACCTTCCCGGCGGGCATTCTGCAGGGAAGATGCAGCAGCAGAGCTGCTCAGCGGCAGAACAGGCACGGGTGGGGATAACAGAAACTGCACCCAATATGAAACAAACTGAGCGAGCTCCACAGCTACTGGGCCAGCGCGGGACAATGCATCCAAGTCAGATTTACCTAATTCGCAGGATTTCCCCGTCCAGCCGAGCGCACACGAGCAGGAGCCATCGGCTGCATCACACAGCCCCCCGTTGCGGCAGGAGCAGGTCTGCTGGCAGCCCGCCCCGTACCGGTGCTTCTC